CCTGGGCCTGGGGCTGCTTCTCTCAGCCTTCCTGGGAAACAGGCCACGATGCCTCCTGCTTGAGAAATCCAATTTCCTCCATGTGCCACCCTGGGCTGAGCTGAAATCCATATTCCCATGTGGTGACTTGGCAGCCACTGAACTCTCTGGCCATGGTTCAACCAAACGCCCCCTCCCAAACTGAGCTGTTCAATTAAGCTGGGAAGGGATGCCCAGGAGGACACCCAGGAGAGCTCCCTCCCATATCCTATGAAGACCTCAGTGCTCAGAGCAGCCCAGAGGAAACCCTCAGCCAGTCTGTTGGACATGTGGGGATTCTCCAAGAAAAGGGACTCGCACTCTACCCTGCCACGTTATGCCTCCCCTGAGCCTAACTTATTTCCCTCTCTTCAGGAAGAGCTTTTAAACATTCTCAAACCTCTGCCGACAAGACAACCCCCAGGGCAGGAAACTACTCATCAAGGTAGCACGGAAGGTGCAGGGCTAAAAGGACAGGAGGGGTGTGAGAAGGCACAATCATGTGTGGATGAAGGAGGGAATGGCCTGAAGCATTCCTCGGGGAGCAGAAGCCTTTGGCATGAATGTGCTGACAGCCTGGGCTGAAGATTCCCCCTGGGGCTGGGACAAGCTGGTGCTGCCCATCCAGCCTCCCTAGGCTAGATTTCAGGTCACTCTATGTCCATGGAGATGGTCCACATGGGGGCCCATATGAACGCAGACAGCCCAGAGGACAGGCCTCTGCTCACAGATGGAGTGGAGATGGGTTGTGGGCCACAAAAATGATGATCATAATAGGATCCTGAGTCCTCAGGAGACCATAGGAGGTAGGTGGAGTTCTCCCTTCTGCCCATGAGAAAAGAGGCTCAGGGAGGCCAGGCTCCAAGCTCCAGAACCCTCATGGACTGAATGGGGGAGCTGAGATTGTTCTAGAAGGACTCATGGCATGCTTCAGAAGAATGGAGCGTCGGTATCAGCAGATGTAGGTCGGATGTCTAGGGTCTGAAGTCAAAGACAGTGGGTGCAAGGGGACTGAGGCTATTCTGCTCTCAAGGTTCTTGTCCTTGGCCCTCTAAGAGCAGCCCTTGAATAAATTTGCCACCCTGGTGAGGAAGCTGCGAAGAGCGTGGAAGGGGCTGCCGATAAAGGTGAGTGTGCCTGAGGGACAGGGCCTCCAAGGTCAGGGGAGAGGGGCTCCTCCCTGAGGGCTGGAAGCCTCCAAATCAGGACAGGTGGGATGTGCGTCTCCAGCTCCACCTTCTGTCACCACAGTTCCTCAATGTCTTCTTTCCAGGTGACCAGGAGGAAGTAGTCTAGCAGGCTGGGTAGAGAATGGATTTGTGGCTGGGGAGGGGCCCAAGGCTCCATACCCTGCGATTTTCAAATTTCAAAAAGCAGGCCCTGGAGGGGAATAAGAGGAGTCTGATATTCTGGGAGGATGAGGGGAAAGGGAATCGAGGGGATGCAACTAAAGGTCCTAGGCCCTTCCATGTGGGAAAGTGGTGTGGGCCAGGACGCTGAAGTTTTTTCAGGGGAGGGCCCCTGTGGGCACCAGAGAGCAGAGACTCATCCCAAACCTACCCCTCATGACACAGGGTGTCGTCCTGTACCTTGGCACTTTCCTCACTGACCTCTTGATGTTGGAAACTGCAGTGGAGAACTACCTGGAGGTGGGTGAGCCTGAGGATTGTGGAGGAGTAACCAGAGTCCAGGGAACTGGGAGCAGAGTGTCCTTGTACTGAGCACTGAGCTCTTCGTACTTAGGAGACCTCTCCTCCTGATAGCCTCACAGCCGCCCATGTGAACAGGGGTCTCTTTCCCAACTCAGTGCTGAGGGAAGGCTAGATGGCTGCCCAACTGGTGAAGCACCAGAGCTTCCTGAAGGCAAAGCTGCACGCATTATGTGTGATTGTGCCCCAGCCTCTTCCTCAGAACTTGCCTGTGGTGGAGAGTGAACTTAGGACCCTGCACATCAACAACAGTTCAGGAACCCATAAACCCCTGCCTGCCTGAGGCTTCTGCAGCTCCCTTATGTCATCCCAGAATGTTGTGCTGCTGGGTGCAGACCTGGAGCCCTATTAAGGATGACAAATCCTCCTTTCTCTGGACCCAAGGGCTTGCCCTAGACCCCAGTCTCATTGTTTGTGTCTCAGCAGCCCCCTCCTGTGTCCTGGCCTATGTGTAGCCTAAGAAGGGGGATGTGTAAGGTGCTAGTCCTGACCAGGGGCTATTTCTAAGGAAAAATTTCCTTAGAAAATTTCCTCCTTTACAGGGAAAACAGATCAACTACTCCAAAAAGAATAAGGTGAGCATATGTGGCACTTCCTGTAGGGTGGGGGAGGCAGCCCCTATCAGAGATGCCCTTGGGAAGAATATTTCATTGCTTCATCCCCTCCCATCCATCTCACATTTCCTGGGATAAGATGCTAAGAAAGAAGTGGAAGACCCATCTAGTGAGTCAGTAGGGGTCTAGAAAAGGCATCAAGTAGAACATCCCGGAGGAGGGGCTAATTCTAGTTGCTTCTGAGAACAGTTTGGGACCGCATGAAGTTGCATGCAGCAGGGTGGCCATGTGTGCCAAGACCCAGGACCCCGTCCCCTGTCCCACTGCTCAGCCCTCACCTGGCCCTGTAGCTTCCCCACCCAGGCTCGGT